TTTCCGTGATCCTAGCGATTTATGCATCACAAATAACATAGAAATGATAGATCGTTTTTTTTCTAAAAGAGGGGGTTTTAGGGTATGGACAACTATAGTAGTTTACAGTAGAAACTTCTAAATACTTCTTAGAAATTGTACTGCTCAATTAAGGCATCACCTGACTATGCCTATCGGGCCTTTTGATGTCCTTGCATATCAGAATGATGTGAGTTGATAAATGTCTGTTGATCAATCTCTGATATGAAAACAATTGATTATTGATTATTATTATGATTATTATGAGTTCTGATTGGCTGAAAAAATGGCCCTTACCAAGTGCACGTTCTTTCGAAATTGATTTAGGGGGAAGATCTTTCTCTTGGTCTAGATGAGTCAATAATTTATTGATCATCAGGCTTTTTAGCAACGTTACCAAGATCGAAGCTGGTTTCGCCATTAAGATTTCCGCGAGCAGATGGCGTTCTTTTAACCGATAGAGCTTTTGGATCAAGTTAACATCCTCCTCCCCAAATAGACCACGTTAAGATCCTCCACCCTAGCGTTCATTCTAATTTAAATCTACTTAGCGCTGCATGTAAACTGCTTTAGTCTGATTGGCTGAAAATTCGAACTCAGAACCAAGTTAACATCCTCCCCCCTAAACGGATGGGGGTGAGGATGTTAACTTGGTCTTACTCACTTTGTGGATTGACCTTTTCGACCAAACTCAGGTATTTTTGACTTTCTTCATCAAACAAATGTGCTCGACATTTTGATCGACCCAGGCGAAATATGTTTCGACCGAATTGGGGCTTTCATTTAATATGAGTTCTCCTGAATTTTGTAGGCGTTTTTGTGACACTTACATGTCAAATCAAACTGAACTGCTCGGTTATTTTTATGACATATTTCTGATTTCAACGGAAGCGTCTGCTATCACTTCTGTCACATTGGCAATAATAAGAACACATTCATTATGTACAAGAGGGAAGTGATTTGTCAACAACACTCAACCGTTGTTTTGCTTATTTATTCATTGTTTGTTTGTTGAGGAGAAAGGAGGTGCGTTTGCTGTTAGTGGGCGGAGAATTGAAGCTGTCAATTTATAACAAGGTGGACTTTTGGACAGCCCCTCCTTTCATAAGTGTTGAAATCAGTTTTAAAGGGGCTGGTATATCTGATATTCGGCTTTTCATTTGCGCTGAGGCGGTCGGCGGTCAGTGTGCTATTACTGGAGTATTAAATTTCAACAAAAAGGAAGTAAATCGAAGGCGGTTGAATATGAAATTGGACTGAGATTGTTGGCAACAACTAATAGTAATAATAATGTGGCTCCTGCGAATCGCAGAAGACCTATCAGGAGGCCTTCACAGCAGGGGCGGATCTCAGAGATTCGACCCACTGCCGACCCAGAGGGTCCCCCTTTGTAATATTTTGAGATACCCATTTTTGGCTGACGGACCCTAAAACTTTTCTGAAGGCGCCTTAACAGAGACCAAAACAGAGTCTTTTTAGTGCTTTGGGAGAGCTTGGAAAATCAATTATGTCGTCTAAATTTGTTTGAAAATCCGCCCCACCCCTTCGAGAAAATCCTAGATCCGCCCCTGCTTAACAATCCTGTCGAGGATAGTACATTTCTTTTATCTCCCCACATTCCAGACTGTGTTATTTTGTTGAGCAAAGCTCTTTTTTTGCAACTCAATGCCGTTTTTTTTGCGTGTAGAACTTTCACGTGGTACCATTATTGCAGCCGAAATTCATATGCCTAATTAATTTTTGGTCCCAACTGATGACGTTTTAGTTGACTTACACCTTAAAATGTGTGCGCAACTGTTTAATCAGTTATGGTGAAAAGGGCAGCTAAGGCTATTGACTCCTGATCTCCTGATAGTGTTGGGTATGGGAATAAAAGACTAAAATGAATTTTAAAGGGGAGGTGGGTTTAATTTATCCTCTTCCTAGGTTAAGAAGGAAGAGGCAGGAAAAGAGGAAGTAGGCGGGACTAATTATGGATTGGCAATTCGGTGACAGTGACGTTGACGTTGATTGACTTGGTCTCTTCTCTCTCTGTTATTGTGTTACTCTGCCGTATTTGCTACATTTTAAAAATCTATCATGACCACCGATTCCAAACTGGTGTATAAAATGGACTATCGTTAGAATGCTCACTGAGCCTAAGTTTGCTGATGAACTTTGAAAGCTATGTCTTAAGTTCATTTTTTTCTTTGCAAACAGTATAAAGTAAACTTAATAGATAGAATTTTATGGTCCACGAATTGAAGAAAGATGCTTAAAAAGGAATAAATTGTCCTATGAACGCCTAAAAATTGTTGAAATAAACTTCAACAATGAAATTTCAAACTTCAACAATCAAAAATTTGAAAACAACCGGAAGAAATTAAATTGTGGTTGGGCAAAATAATTGAAGAACTAGTTCATTTTTGGCTATGTTTTTTTCTGTAGAGTAATACCTAATATATATTTTTCAAACTGAGGGTATTATGCCAATTGAGCTTTCTGCAGGATGGTAATGGGGGTGTGTGGTGGCGCCCGTGGCGCTGTTTTCATTCCCACCGGCCACGCACAGCAAGAATCCCTCTCTCTCCCTCCCCTTCCTGTTTAATCTCCTCTCTCGTGTCACTTCAGAACACCAACTGCACAACCCAACAGACAAGAGTAGCACTGCGTCAGTCCTCGTGGCTCCGCCTCATATTTTGCCCCATATGATATGTTTATTAGTGACAAGCAAGTCTTAGAGAAACATGATAGCTGTTTGGATTTTTCTGCTTCATTCTTTCTCTAGTTTGAAGCAATTGAATCAGCTTTGTACATTGAAATTTCATATTTTGCATGTATACAGGGCAGCAGATCTAGAATTTTTGCGTGAGAGGGGGCGAATTAAAAAAAATTGAATTTTTGCAACATTTTATAGGTCAACTAAATTCAATTGCCGAAGTCCCCAAAACACTAAATAAACCTGGTTTTAAAAAATGTTTTGGCCAAAAAGTTGTGGTTTTTTTTCAGCGCACGGTCCCCAAGTAAGCTAGTAGATATTTAGCACCCAAGATGCCCCTGAAAAAATGGAAGTTTAGTTGTTCAAAATGGGTGCCATGAAGCTGTACCAAATTGGGACCTTCCCCTTGGTTGGCGAGGGGGTCGAATCATCGCAAAAGCTTCCCCCCTTATTATGCCGTCATCTTTATTGATTCAATCACAGAATTTGCAAAGAAACACTTAAGCCTTATTTGAGTTTTCCTTGTTGAAAAGATTTTCAAACTATCTGTCGTTTTTTTATTTCTCGTGCTCTGTTTACTGTATTTAATCGTTAATAAAACTTTATTAAGTTTGAAAAACATTTTAAATTCTCTGTTTACTGTATTTAATCGTTAATAAAACTTTATTAAGTTTGAAAAACACTAGAGCACCCTTCCATCATGTCTCCATCAGAAACGCCAAAAGTTGGAAGAAAAAAAATAAGGAAATTTTTTTTGTAGTATGGCCCTGTTTCCAGAATGCTTGGAGGAAATATGTTTGCTATTTGTTGTATCATTTACTCACTATTTTACCAGGTATCTAGGTTTGTAGACCTGATGGTTTGCTTTGTTTGAGTCTGATGATTATCTATAATTGATCGAAAGTGTTTCGGTCTGATAATGATGTATAATTGAGTAAAACCGTCAATGCCATATTTGGAGGTGTCATCCGTCTCCTCCAGGTGGGACCGGTAACGCTGAAGTGGATATTATTACTCCTCCCACACGGATGGTATTGCACTGAGTAGGGTCGGAGGCAGTAAATAAAGAGACTTGAAAGATTATGATTTATTTTTTTATAAGAAAGACGAAATAGGTCCAGCTCCTTTTAGCCTTTTTTTTTACTTGTTCCACTTCCTGGTACCAAGTCTAGTTTCAAGTCTAACAGAGAATTTTAAAAAGTTTTTTGAAAACGAGTGGCTTCTGATAAAGAAGAAATGGTTTTTTTCTAGTTTGTAAATGCATTCATGAATTTAGGTACAGATTAGATTGCAAGCGGAGTTACATTTAAAATTGTTTTTCGTTTATTGTGAAATACTGACTTGTTTCGCGAAAAATTTCGTTTAACAAATAGTTTAATTGCATCTATGCGGCAGCTCGGCGTCGAAAGTTTTGTTTAAAAAAAATATGTAGCTGACATGCGGTTGCTATCATAATTTTGATCATTCTGTCCATTAGTGTCATAGCCAGTTCTGCAAAATCCCAGTTTTTCCAGAGAACCCTTTTGTGATCTAAAATGTCAATATTTTTCTCAGGTCCATAAGAAGTTCTTGGTTATACTTACTGATTATCAAGTTTTCGTAGTTAATGTTTATTTGAGGAATCGTCTAAACGTTACTTAACTTGAAAAAAAAACATATAATATTCAAAAATTATATATCTGATCATTTCTGTTCATATAACTGTATATGAATAGAAATATATACCGTTTATATAACGGTACTTTCGCAGTAACCGATAATCTTGTTTTTTTTTGCAAACGTAATTTATGTCAGGATTCTGTGTGGTTTGCACATAATCCGCCCTTTTTGATTGTTCCGGTTGTAAAAACAAACAGTAACTAGCTGCAAAATTTTTGAAAGACTTTTCTTAATGACAAACAAAAATGAGAAGGAGGGGGTGTTATGATGAGAAGGAGTAGGGACATTTGGCGACTCAGTGCTTGTGAAGTTTTGGTTCGATAATTTTCAGTCAATGTGGCTGAACCGAAATAGTTTTTTTTACTTCGATCAATTTTACGTTCGGATTTTTTCCCATTTCGTTTTTCGCAGGATTGTTTTTATATTACTCGCTGAAGTTTATAATGCCTTATCTTGGTATTTGCTCTAAATAAAAAGCAACATTGAACTACGCGGATTAGTGATTGCATTTTAACACCTAGGAATTTTTTTTTTAATTAGCAACTTTAGAATGGCGAGAATTTAAAGTTAAAGTTTTAGAATGGTGAGTTTAAAAATTTTCAAATTTAGAAATATTCTGTTGTAGGGTACGGAAAGCGTGAACTAGTCGCCAAGGATCTCCAGTTCGGAGACATCGTGCAGCGACATGTGATAGACGGGGACATGGTCCTGTTCAACAGACAACCTTCTCTGCACAAACTCTCAATCATGTGTCACAGGGCAAAGGTCATGCCCTTCCGCACTTTCAGGTCAATGAAGCCAAATCTAATCTCTAGGCTATGATGTTTCGAAGACAATCATGATCCGTGTTGGATGCTTAGATAAGACGCAATGTTTCGCAGCGTTGAAAAATTATCATAAACTTAATGAGAACCAGGGGCGGATTTAGGGGGGGGGGGGATGCCCCCCTCCTCAGGAATTCGACCCCCTGCCGACCCCTTTTGATATTTTTTCAGAAATCCATTTTTGGCCGACCGACCCTAAAATTTTTCTAAAGGCGCCTTGGGCGCCAATATATACTAACTTTGAGGGGGAGCGCGCGCCAAAAAACGCTATTTTTTTGTCAACATTTTTCAAAAAGTGCCCCAAAACGGCTTTTTTGACTGTTTTTTCAAAAATTTGCCTGCGGCGCAGAAAACTTTGTCAAAATAGGAGCAAAACAGTGCTTTGGGAGAGCTCGTAAACTCAATTTGGTCGACCTAAAAAAAAGGTCGTCAAAATTTTGGAAATTTTTTTGAAAATCCGCCCCCCCCTCGAGAAAATCCTAGATCCGCCCCTGATGAGAACATAAGTCTTAATTTCAAAAAGATAAAGCATTTTGTTGTGTCGATCGAAGTTTTATTTTTGCCGTAAATGAGAAGTTTAAGAAGTATTTTAGCTCATTTTCAAAAGTTTTTTAATGACAGTCATGAACTTCAGTTACGTTGAGTTTTGGCTGATAATGTGCATATCCTTTTAATACTGTAATAGCACTAGTAATGCCAGAATACTTATGTTCTACTTTGGCGGAGTAACTTGAAATGAGTCTCGATAAAAATTGTTGACCCTATCAATTTTGCTGAAGTATCAGAAAAGCCATTCCTAAATGGATATTCCTAAAAACATTTAAATGAACTCTGTGATGAAAGAAATGATTTTGAATAACATTCTGAACCAATTGCCGGGTGGTCACTTGATCGACAAGGGGCGTTAGTAAATTGCAAAAGAGCTGAAGTGTGTCGTTTGTTCTTCCAGGTTCAACGAGTGTGTCTGTGCTCCTTACAATGCGGACTTCGATGGCGATGAGATGAATCTGCATGTGCCTCAGACCGAGGAGGCCAGGGCAGAGGCCATGATCCTCATGAAGACCACAGAGAACATGGTATCTATCATAACTATTAAGTTATCTTTTAGAGCAGCCGTGGCCGATTGGGTAAGGCACGCGGACTTTACACAAAGGTCGTGGGTTTGAATCCCGCTTCGTTCACGGTTGGAGGGGTCCCAGTGTCATCCGCCTCCTCAAGGTGGGACCGCCTGCTGCAAAATGGATGATATCTCTCCTCTCTCTCTCTATCTCAGGCCAAAAACGGCGTTTTAGGCTCTTTTTAAAATTTTTTTAGAAAATTTAGAAGGCGAATTTAGAAAAATTTTAGGGTTTGTGAGCCAAAAATGGATATCTCAAAATAGTACAAAGGAAGACCCGTTGGTGGGTCGGCAGGTGAATCCCTGAGGGGGGATGGAAGGGGCAGTCGGCCGAAGCCCTCGCTAAATCCCCTGGTAATAGTCATTCATATTTAATGGTACGTTGTAAGAAGCTTCTCTGGTACGTTGTAAGAAAAAATTGTGGGTTTAATGATAGTTTGAACTGAATATTTGACCAGTTTTTTTGTTTTTTTTTGTCTTGATGTTGGTCGGACTATTCTATGAGTGTTGTTTAACATTAACAATCACTATATAGATTGGTCAAACACTTGCTGTTTCAAGTAATAATTTATTGCGAAAATAACGTAAGAAAAAAATTAATTTTAGGTGACCCCTAAAAATGGAGAGCCTGTGATCGCTGCTACTCAGGACTTCTTGACTGCCTCTTACCTCATGACTTTCAAAGACACTTTCTTCGACAAGACCAGAGCCATGCAGATCATTGCTTCCATCTTAGTCGGTCCAGACGAGCACTTGGTCATAGAACTGCCTAGACCCGCAATTTTGAAGCCTATTCGGTAGACTTATGATATAAGGGTCTCTGAATAGGTCCTTGATCAGAATGTTGAATAGGTCCTTGATCAAAGCGATTTTAGATAAAATTGCTGTCATCTAGTGGCAAAAAATTTTTTTGCTTTGTTGTTTGGATTAAGTTTTTGTCCACTGGTATGCGATGTAATATGTTGATTTAAGCTTATAAAAGGGGAAAACATTATTTATGACAACTGTGAACAGAAACCTGAAAATTCAGCTCAGAACTTGTTTGAAATTTTGATAATTTTCATGCCGCTAAAAGAACATGAAATGCTTTAGCTGTTTGAGGTAAATGCATATGTCATCTCATAATTGGTATGGCTAGGGACCCATCTATCATACTTGTACCCCCATTTAGACTATGGACTGGAAAACAGATTTACAGTCTGATCATCAAACCTAATTCTGCATGCACAGTCAAAGCCAATCTGAGGTGCAAAGGAAAGCAGTACAAAAGTGAGTTCAGTTCTTCTATTGGTTTATAACTTGAATCTACGATTGAAGAATTTTTGAATTTTTCGGTCGGAAGCAGAGGCGATAGAAAGTACTTCTTAACGTTTCTAAAATACACTTTGAGTAAAAGTTTGTTTTTGAATGCCAAGATTCTAAATGAAGTCTCGAATAATATTAGTCGTAGCAAAGAAGGTCTTACCGTGTTGATATTAGGCTAAAAGTCGATGTTTATAATTATGGTTTCTGCGATTCGCAGAGAATCTATGAAAGAATATCCAGCCTGTCTAAGCATAGTCAGTTTCTTTTATTTCCCCACATTCCAGACTTTACAGAGTTATTTTGGTTGTAACTCAAGGCCGCTTTTTGCGTGTAGAACTTTCACGTGGTACCACTATTGCAGCCGAAACTAGTCAGGCTGAAGTAGACCTGAAGCTAGAGGTCAAGTAAGAGCTCGTGCTCACTCTTTATCATTGCCATGGTAGGGGATCGAATATGCGATCTGACGATTTCAAAGTGAACACCTTACCACTATGCTACGTGCCTCCTATCAGACCTTGTGGGATTTTGACGACGAATTTTTCATTTCAGGTAGCAAAGAAGATATGGACTCGGATGACACGTTTGTGGTTGTCCGCAACTCGGAAATTATGTGTGGGCTTATGGAAAAAGGTAGCAATTTTTTCAATGTCGTTTAAATATATTGATCAATTTTATGTACAATTTTGTTGGTTTTGTGTACCAATTTTATCGATTTTATGTATCAGTTTTATAGGTTTTATGTATCAATTTTATCGATTTTATGTATCAATCCAACTTTTCCCTCGAAGTATGGTTGTCCAGTGTCGATGATTCGTTTGTTCAATAGATTGATCGTTCTATCGTACATTTAGACAATTTCTCGCTTCAGGTGTTCTGAGTTCTGGCTCCAAGGACAATCTGTTCTACGTGTTGTTGCGGGACTATGGCTCCAAAGTAGCGGCTGATGTCATGTTTCGAATGTGCAGAATATCCGCATTCTTCCTCATGAACAGAGGCTTCTCTGTACGTCTAATAGCTATGATTTATAAACTTGACTGCCAAATAATTAATCATAAAGAGCTTCAAATTATGATCGAATTGTTACATGTCTCCATGTTTTTGTAATTGTAAACGTAAACGCTTTTTACTTCCATTTCAAACTTTTTAGTAATTGTATCGAGAGGGTGGGAAGACACTATGGCGCTGGTGTGGTGATCTCTCATACATTTTTTTCAATTCCTTAGGACTAAAAGAGGCCAATTTTGATTTGTTGGAGGTTGGATTAGTAGCAGGTTTTTGAAAGTCGATGAATGTTGGGAAGACTATTATATAGGTCGTGATGATTTTTTTTCAGGAAAATTCTTAAAATTTGTTCAGTCTCTAATTTGGTTTTTCGTGGCTCGACTTGATTTTTTTTAAAGTTCAATTGCTACCTTTGAAGAAAGGAAGGCAAACTCCACTATCGAACATCAAAAGTGTCAAGTTCACAAAAACATAACCGACTTCTAATTTTGAAAGTGGATTTTAATTTTCAGATTTTCATTTCATAGCAGTTGTGCGAACCATTTCATAGCAGTTGTGCGTTCGCAAGGAGGCTTCACTCTGAACGTTAGTCAATGAGTGTTGTCCGGAAAAAAAAGGTGGTCGGAGGCCAGGATGAATTTGTTTTCCATCTTAAAGTGTTCCTAAAGTGTAGTCGAGACAAGTTCTTTGTGCGGAAGGCTTCGGTAAGTTTCTCCCCCTTCAAGAAGACGACAAGTGTTTTCGTCATGTCAGTCAGTGTCTGCGCCTTGCTCAAATGAGGCAAGCGGGATTTCTTTTCAGCTTCTCACTAAAGTTTCGCGAGCTTCATTCAACGTGAGTCGGGGTAGAATGAAACCAGGCATTGATATCAATCGGGGGAAAATAAGCATGAACAATTGCAAAAGAGACATGTTTGAGGATGGCTCTGGCGAATGTGTGAAAAAGTAACACTCAAGTCTAACTCTTGGCAGATTTAAAAATCCGTCGACGACTATCTTTTTTTGCCAATACATTTAGATGAGTTACCGATGTTCAAGAACAACAATAAATTAGGATCACGCGGCCAGGTTGAACTAATTGAAAATTGGGAATGGAAGGAGCGTAACTGCGATAAAAACGGTTAAAAAGTTTAATCAATTAGAGAAAATTGTGTTTCGTAATCTTATGTCAATGGATCTGCTTTCATTTGATTTATCATGTGTTCCTTCAGCTTCAGAGGTGGTAACATTGTGACCTCCTTGTCTTCTAAGAACTCACTGGCAAATGTAAAACTCTACAGGATCGTAGATTTCTCGTCGCCACGGTTTTCATCTAAATCATTAGTTAGAACAAAAAGTTGACCGGGATATTCATGCTTACAAAAAAAGTTTTTCAAAAAACAAATCAGTTTTTTTTTCTATTTCGTTGCCTTCATCGAGTCTTTTCCAACTGTCAGCTAGCTTTGTTTTCCTCCTCCAATCCCGAAGGGCAGCCATTGCACAAGGAACTACAACAAGCTCTGGGCTCAGAAGCAAGGGTTTTGGTTTCGTATGCTAACCATTTCATGGCAGTTAAGCGTTCGCAGGGAGGCTTCTCTCTGTACGTTAGTCAATGAATGTTGTCCGGAAAGGGGAGAGGGGCTCATCGGTGGTCAGCATGAATTTGTTTTCCATCTTAAAGTGTTCCTTCCGCATTCACATCCTGAGCCATAGCGGAGATCCAAACTTTGTCGGAGATCCAAACTTTGTCTGAAAGCCGTTTTTGTCTGCAATGATGTGGCCGTGAACATACAAACGACCCCACTGTCTCCTGAATGACCGAAAACGATGAACCGGTCATGAATTTTTCGGATTTCTGAGAAGTTTAGTCGAGACAAGGCCTCGTAAGTTTCTGGCCGTTCAAGAAGACGACAAGTGTTTGCGTCTTGTCAGTCAGTGGTATCTCTAACTATATCCCCCCTCTGGTACCTAGTAACGAATATCACCCTATAAAGAAGTAAATCAAAGGTAAAGCATATCACAACTTTGTGCCAAGTAACGAATATCTCTCTTTTGCAATAAAAGGGTATATAGTTAGATCCTGTCAGTGTCTGCGCCTTGCTTGAATTAACCGAGCGGGATTTCCTTGCAGCTTCTCAAGAAAGTTTCGCGAGCTTCATTCAACGTGATTCAGGGTAGTGCGAAACCAAGCCTTGATATCTATCGGGGAAAAAAGCATGAACTGTTGAAAGAGAGACATGTTTGAGGTTGGCTCTGGCGACTGTGAGAAAAAGTAATACTTAAATCCAGCTCTTGGCAGATTTAAAAATCCGCCGACGGCTATCCTTTTTTGCCAATACACTTGAGCATGAGATACCGATGTTCAGGAACAACAATAAATTAAGATCACGCGACCAGGTTGAAATCATTTAAAATTGGCAATGGAAGGAGCGTAACTGCGGTAAAAACGCTTAAAAAGTTTCATCAATTAGCGAAAGTTTTGTTTCGTAATCTTATGTCAATAGAGCTGCTTTCATTTGATTTCTCATGTGTTCCTTCAGCTTCAGAGGTGACAACATTGTGACCTCTTTGTCTTCTAACAACTCACTGGCAAATATAGAGACTCTACAGGATCGTAGATTTCTCGTCGCCACGGTTTTCACCTAAATCATTAGTTAGAACAAAAAGTTGACCGGGATATTCATGCTTACAAAAAGAAACATGTTGGCATACTGGCAGCGAGACGTTCCTTAGCCTAAAATTTGATGCCTCATTTCAGCAAGGAAGCTGTCGATTGGGGGCGGTCGCGAAAAATGTCTAAAGATTTTTTATCCCATGCGCTACTTTGTTTCTGAAAATGATGTGTGACACACGAGGTTATTTCTGATTTTTTTCTACAAATTTTTTTTATTAGTTTTTATGTAAATAGTTTTGGTCGGAACATTCTTCACACACGAAATTACTTTGTTTCAAGTTAATCATTACTTACTTGTTAATCGTAGGGTGTTTTCAGACATCACTGTCCATTGCCAGCCTTCTAAACATCCCGGACGATATCCCGCCACTTTCTGCGTTCCATCGCGCTTTCTTTGTAGATGTCAAACCAGCACTCATCCCATCTTTTGACGGACATCCTTGGCTGCTTTATGTTGCGCTTCAGTTTGTTTTAAAGACTTTGCGCCTCGTAGTACGATTATCGACTGGTGGTCGTTTCAAGAGTAACATTGGGATTTTCGTTTTCTCTCATTTGCAAGTCATGGCCCAACCATTTGAGTCACCGTGTTTTAAGAACTTCGGTAATACTTTTTTCGAGCTTCAACACTGCGCTTACCGCATGTGATGGCACAAATTGGTTTTTCGGGGCTATAAATTTAACGTATCTATTTTTGAAGGCTTTAAGCTTGTCCACATCTGAAACTTCAACAGGCCATGATTCGCAGCCATAACGAAGAGTACTTCTAACACAGGCGTAGTAAACTTCAGCTGTTATTCTCAAGGTTAAGTAGCGTGACTTCCACACATTGTTGAGCCTTCTAAATCTACAATTGGCCTTTTCAGTTCTCAGTTTGACTTTATGCGAAATGCTTATGTCTAATTAGATGTTGCTGCCTAGATAGGTAAAGTTGACCACAGTAGGGGTTGACAAGCGAGGAGTTGACCACAGCAGGTTAAATTTCAGGTTTCTTCTGTTCAGCAGAACTGTTTTTTATTTTTTTTTAGTTAATCATTAAAACGTCTGGATTTGAAATGGACTTTGATCCTAAGAAGTTTGATTAAAATTTTCATCTAATTTTTGGATCGGCTAATTTTGGAAAACTTTAATTTTAATTTTGAACACTTTTTCTATCAACGTTATTCTAAAGTGTAATTGAATCGAAACCGTTCTATTCTCTTCTTAAAAACGATGACATCTAATGAGCATTGTCATTTTAGATCGGAGTAGGCGACGTCCGACCAGGAATGCAGCTGAACAGTGCCAAAGCCGAATTGATCCGAGTGGGCTATGCTAAATGTACAGACCTGATTGAACAGGCCAAACTAGGCCAGCTATCAACCCAACCGGGATGCACGCCGGACGAAACTCTGGAAGCTAAAATTCTAAAAGAACTTTCAACAATTCGAGACCAAGGAGGAAAAGCGTGCAAGGCTAATCTACCGCACACGAATAGTCCACTTATAATGTCACTTGCAGGATCAAAAGGGTCTTTCATTAACATATGTCAGATGGTAGCGTCAGTTGGTCAGCAAGCTCTGAGTGGAAAACGGGTCCCTAATGGTTTTGAAAGTCGGTCGTTGCCTCATTTCGCGAAGGGATCCAAAGAACCAGAAGCGAAAGGTCGGTGGAACGGGACATTTTGAGAACATTTTTACGTCCAGTTTCCGGGTTTCTGGAATTGATTATTCGGGAAATTTTTTTATGTTGAAACTTACTCTGATTCTTAGTTTAATTAAGAATCATAGGATTTCGAAATCTTTTTACCATTAAAGTGACCAAGTCTTTAAAAATCAGATCTTAAAAAGGAGCCAAAAACAATTTACCGATAAAATACAGGAAAATAATGGTGGAAGTCGAAAAAAGGTACCTTTTACTGAATCATTTGTCCGACAGGTTTTGTGGCCGACAGTTTCTACTCTGGCCTGACCCCCACGGAGTTCTTTTTCCACACGATGGGGGGTCGAGAAGGACTTGTGGACACAGCTGTGAAAACGGCAGAGACGGGATACATGCAGAGAAGGTTAGTGATTAGGCCTTCAATAACCAGACTTTGAGGACTTGTAAGGAAATAACCAGACTTTTATGAAATAGAAGTTTGTGAAATATAAGTTAACTCTCACATTTCCTCTCTCCAACTAAAAATAAGTCTGAAAATTGAAATAATCGGACCAGTTTTTCTCGACACCGAGGCCTGTGAGACAACATGATATGACTTCACGCCGTTTGACTTTGATTTTGGCTCCTGAGTTTTGTGTTAAAACACACCCTAGCCCATTGTTCAACCAGGCGTGATAATAAAAATTACGATCGTATCTTCCTTCTTAGCCGTCTATGAAACTCCTCAGCAAATTGTGATTAGGTTGATCCTCCCCTGATTAGGTTGACTTGTTTATTAATGTTTACTTACTTAATGAATTGTCTCACTTGTGAAGGTTGGTCAAGTGTCTTGAAGATCTGTGTGTGCACTATGACACCACTGTGAGGAATTCGACCAATGAGATTGTCCAGTTCACCTATGGGGCTGATGGTCTGGACCCATGCTACATGGAGGTAAAGTTAGAAAATAACTCTCAATTGTTACTGAGACTATAATTATATGCAGGCCATTTCTACTAATTTTCTTAGTGGCAAAAATGAAGTGAAGATTTATTCATGAATTTAATAACTGTTACTATATCTGAGAATGATTGTATGGGTATGATATACTGGATCCATGCTACATTCAGGTAATCATGTAAAAAAAGTCTCGAATTCTTACTGAAGCCAAAAAAGGATACAGGTGATTGCTATTCATTGCCTTGTACAAAAGTAGAGTGAATATTCATCCATGAGTCAGATAACTGTATGAGAAGCGGATTTATGGGTTGCGCAAGAAGATTTCCTTCAGTGATTCAACCACTTGTTGATCCTCCAAAGGCTCCTCCTTTTATTAATAATTTTTATTCATTTTCATCAGATCGGCACAAAAAGTTTTCTAAAAGCGCATTTGGCGCCTGTATACTACTTAGTTTTGAGGGAAGTTCCAAAAATGTGCCTTATAGTCAAGAAAATTTTTGACCCGCGCCTTAGTTGTATAGTTTTTCAGCAGCTGATTAAAAATTTTCAAATCAAGTCTTTCAAGATTTGATTATTTGGTTGATCGCCGAAAATAAAATTGTTTCACTTATTTTGTGACGAAATTTCAAAGTTAATTAATTATTTAATTTTGGTAGAAAATTTTATCTGCAACAGGGTGATGATAAACCAGTGCATTTTGAACGTCTCTGGAACCACATGTTGTGCTCGGTACCTGTTGAACAAAACGAACGACCTCTAACTCATGCAGATTTGATAGTCATCACAGAAAAACTTCTTATGAAGGAATCCAAGATATCACAAGTGTTCAAAGATGACATTCGAGGATTTGTAGGGAAGTTTGCGAGTAAATTGAAGGACCTGACAGCCAATGTTGTGAATGATCCTGTTGCTAGTTCTCTTTGGAAAGAAAATAAATCGTCATTGCTTCAAATTTATTTTGTCACTCAGAAACAGCTGGAAAATTTTGTCACTGAAGCAGCGGTAAGGTAAGAAAAAGCGATATTATATGCATGTCCCAGATTTATAGTTTGATTTGAATGGCAAATAATACGATCTTGGATTTTCTCGATGACATATTTTGATCGAAATTCAACTACATGATATTTTGTGCAACTTTGATGTGTTGTAAATAATTTTTCAACCACCGTTTAAATTTTCAGTAGAGATTTATTGGTTCGAAATGTTCAAAAACGTTTTTGCGGCGTTCGTTTTGGCAGCAGTTTCACAGTTTGATTTCTTACACCCTTTTGTGTAGGTACGAAAAATCAGTAATAGAGCCAGGAACGGCAATTGGAGCAGTATGTGCTCAGTCCATAGGAGAGCCGGGAACTCAGATGACTCTGAAGACGTTCCACTTCGCTGGAGTCGCTAGCATGAACATCACTTTGGGTGTCCCTAGAATCAAAGAGATCATAAACGCCACGAAAAACATTTCAACTCCCATCATAGAAGCCGGTTTGTGTATAAAATGTTCATCGATAAATAGGATGTTGTTCTACAAGAATACATTGTTTGGCCATGTGGTTGACTGTATATGTTAAGCTTTCTGATCAGCTTGATTACACTAGCGAACTTTAGTGCGTTAGTGTTACAGTACGACTATTCTTTTTTTTTCTAACTTAAGTCGCAAATATTGGTGCCACTTTTGGTACAGCGTTTTGATAGCATGTGCTTTGACAATCGATTAAGAACAAGTTAACACAATTGATGCATATTCATTGTTCAAATGAACCGAAAAAAGCTATTCGCTTCAAATATCAGTACAATAACTACCCTTGAGATAAGCAAGGGTATTGCAATCGGGTACTAGACTTTTTTTCCCGTAAACAACTTTGTCCGCATGATCACTTCTAGACGATCTTCTCTTCTTAAATGCTATTGATCACTTCTTAAGTGTGCACGTCTTAACTGCAAGATCTTCACTTCTTAATCTGCAAGTGCAAGTGTTGTTCATTCTAGTTTTAGGGGTGACTTGAAATACTTTTAAAAAATTACAAAATCATTTTTTTTTCGGCTCAGCTTAGTTGCCACTTCACGGATTTTGCTTGTGCTGTAAGCAACTTGCTTTGAAGTTGCAAGTGTTGTTCATTTTAGTTTCATATGGGACTTAAAACTTGAAATATTTTTCATATAAAGTCATATTTTTTTGCTCAGTTTGTGTCTGCTCAAAGCTTGTCGGCTTTTTTCTTCTTGATAAGCTTTGTTCCGTTTCATTGTCAATATTCAAATCTCTGGCATGTTTGCTTAGAGTTAACTTCCAACGAGACATGAGAAAATTTTCGTTTTGGCAGGCCTATTTTTTCAATTTTTTAAAAAATTATTCGACTTCTAATGTTTTTTCTGTTTGTGTTGTATCGCAAGTGGTCCGAAGCTCGGCTTCGCCTTTGTGTTGTAGCTTCTGGAGGACTTCAACCTTCTTAATGTTTTTAATAAAATCTTTTTTTTTCGGCTCAGCTGGTGTCTGCTCAAAGGTTGTCGGGTTTGTTTCCGCTTCGTAAGTTTTTGTCCGTTGCTAATTTAAAATTCAATTGTCTTGCTTGGCATGTTTGAACAGGTTTTTATGAAAATGTAAGAAATTGGGTTTTTTTCTCATTTTTTGAAAGGCTTACCTTGAAAATTAAGTTCGATTTACAGCCTTACTTTCGAAAACGGAGCCCCTCTGCTTTTTAAAATTTATTCTTATAATAAAGTATCGAATTTTATATCGAAATAATGAATAAGGTTTTTATGTTACAAAATAAAACATTTTCATCTGATCAAGGTCAGCGTTATGCGAATAGCTAAAAAAAGTACGTTTTAGGGCCGTGTATTCCAGAAACTATCCTCGCAAGTCTCAGATTTTGGGCTCAATAGAGAGAAAAAGTCTTTGGAAGTTTCCCTGCCTAAGGGAGTGACTATGCCTGAGTTTTTAATGCAAAAAATTATGGCCCTCGGAACAGTCAAAGTTTTGAATTGTTGACCGTTTCTCAAACTTTTCGAGTTTTCTCGAAAGCTACCCTCCCATATCGTAAATTTTGGGTTGAATCCAAGGATCGGCTTATGAAAAGTTCTTTGCATGCGCGACTACGCTTAAATTTTTTGACGCAAAAAGTTATTTCCCTCTGAAATATGATTTTTAACCATTTTTTGAAACTTTTTGATTTTTCTTGAGAACTATCCTCCCAAATCTGAGTTTTTGAGATGCAATTGAAGATACAAGATGAGCGATTTTCTTCTTTTTAAGCGGCTATCCTAACTTTTATTACAGAAAAGGCTATGGTTTTGGGAAAATTTTTGTTTTTGTTAAATTTTTTTTTGAATTGTTTGATTTTTCTGAAAAATTATGTTTTAAATTTGAGATTCTTGGTTCAATCAAAATTCCAGGCTGTGCGAATGTTTAATTTGCATAAGCAGCTATGCCCAAAAGTTTAAACACAAATTGATTTGATTCTCGGAAAAGTCAGTGTTTTGATTTGTTGACAGTTTTTTGGAAATGTTTTGACTTTCTCGATAACTATCCTGACAAATCTGGTATCAAGGGTGAAATTAAAACAACACGGTACGCCCAATTTTTTCATAAAAATTAATTGCCTTGTGAAACTTTGATTATATTTGGAAATTTTTTGGCTTTTCTCGAAAACTACCCTGCAAATTCTTAGGAAAAAAGAACTTCGACCGTTTTTTAGAAACTTGTTGACAAAATTTTTTGACGAATCTTAAAAACTACCCTATCAAATCTGAGTTGAAGCGTCCAATCGAAAAAACCGGTAGCGAAAATTTTTCCCATATAATCGACGACTTTTTATGTTTTTGTAAGATAATTGTTACATCCTTTGGAAAATTCCAATATCTCGAAACTTTAGTAAAGAAAGAAATAAAGGTTTTGGACAAAAATCTATTTTTGAATCACTCGTTTCATACTGCATCAGTATGATAAATTCAATAAGCATCAAACACATACCTACAGCTTTAGCTAGGTCTCTAGTTATATTTTATCGAGACACGAAAATTTTGGCTCACCCAATTTTTTTATAACTTTTTTTTACGTCTGTGTTGTATCGCATTTAGTTGTGTAAAAGTTCAGATAGAGATTTACATGACAAAAAGAGCGTGAAAAGAACAAACAAATTAGGTATAGACGAAAAAGAGTAACCTCAACCTGAAATAGGATGACCAAATTAGAGTGCATTAGGCGCAACAGTATTATTTGAGACTAGGGTTTTCAGATTATTCAGGACTTTGCCCTGCTTAAAGTATTTTTATCTCAATTTGTCATTGTCAAATTACGAACAAAATGAGAATTTCTTAACATAACTTGGGATGAATGATCTTTCTTCCTTTCTTGGCGATTATTTCACGTAATTGCAATATTTTTTTTTGTTGCGGCTTGATATAGTCTTTTCAAATTTCTCCCCAATTTTGTAAAGCAAGCTAAAAAGAGCTTTCTTGTTTTTTTGTTCAAGACATTTTTGTGGATTAATGAAGCATTTGTAGGTCATTTCGACAGAAGGTTTGTTCGTTGGTACTAAAAGCAATTATAAGTTTCATATCAATAATCAGTCTGGCGTCTGTGAATTTGTTTATATTTTATTATGTTTTCTTATATACTGATATTAACATTGTATGTTTCAATTTTTTCTAAAGTTTATTTGAATTTTTTTGTCTCAGTTCAATTTTTTATTCGGAACAGCCGTATCGATGAGAAAGAGCTATGGCTCAGAGTTTGTTTGTCTTCATGCAAAATCAGTTATTAGATGGGAATGTCAGATCGGCTTGAGCGATAAATTACATATTTGCCGTTCAAACAAATTTCATTTTTCACTAAATTCTAATATTTTTTCTCCATGCCGTGTTGATTCGTTTTTCATTTCAAAAATATGACATAATACGTGCTTTTTGTTAAGCTCAAATGCAAGGACGTTTTCTTGAATTGAAGTGTTGGGCTATAGTTTCTCGGCTCATTTTTAATACTTCTTAACCATTAAAGCCAAAGAAAACTGTCAATCGAAAAAAAAAGAAATTGGGCAAAATCATAAGTGGTAACTCTACGAGTTACTGAGCTTTTTCCGACTCAACTGGTGTCTGATCAAAGATTGTCGGTTTTGTTTCCGCTTTGTAATTTTTTTTTCAGTTGCTTTATTTGGTATTCAAATGTCTTGCTTGGCATGTTTGCATAGAATTCCTGGTTTTTTTTATTTTATTTGGAAAGTTTTATCCCTTTTTGCAATTTTTTCCTCAAAATTCATAAAAATTTCTTCAACTGATTTTCAAAAAGGGTATCCATAGAACAATTAGGGTATGTCTGCATACTTCACTGGTCTCTGTTTGCTTTTTTCTTTTGTCACACCGTTCGAAAAAGTGAAAATGTTTGACTGATTTTTTTAATTTGTTTTTTCGTTTTCTCAAAATAGTGCCAAATCTGAGATTTTGTTTTCAATGAATAGAATGGATTTGAAACGCTCCCTTCCATAAGCGGAATAGTGAATTTGTTGATTTTGTTGACCGTTTTTTTGAATCGTTTTGACGTTTCTTGAAAACTAACCTCCAACGCCTGAGATTATGGCTTCAATGGAGATAAGGGGTAGTGGGTAAGCTCGCCGGCATTAGCGGCCACTCACAATTTTTAACGCAAAAAGATATCGTCCTCGGAAAAGCCAGTTTTTTGATTTTTATGAGCGTTTTTTTTTAATTTTTGTACTAAAATTACACTCCCATGGTTTTATTATTAAATACACTCCCATATCTGATATTTTAGGTGCAATCCAATGAACGGGTTGTGGGAAGCTCCTTTGCATACGCGACTACGCCCAAATTTTGTTGGCACAAAAAATAACGCCCCTTGGAAAGGTGAAAATTTTTGACCATCTTTTTGAATCTCGAAAACTACCCTGCCAAACTTGGGTTGTTGGCTTCAATCAAAATTACAGGTTGGCTAAAAATCTATGGTTTTCGGAATGTCAATTTTATGATTGGTTGACCGTTTTTTGGATTTTCCTCAATAATTATCCCGCCAAGTCGAATATCACAGATTTAATCGATAGAACATGTTGTTGGAAGCTTACCTTTGTGTTTTGCTGCGTCCAGTTTCTTTTAGAAAAATGTTTTGGCCATCAAAAAAGTACAAATTTTGTAATGGACCGTTTTTTGGAAATTTTTCAACTCCTCGAAAAATACCGCGCCTATTCTCACGTACAGTGTTCAATCGAAGAACCCGATTTTGAGATTCTTCTCTACTTTGCCGGCCACGACCTGCTTTTGTCAAATCTAAGATATAAACTTCAATCGAAAAAAGTGGCTGGTTTTATTATTAAATACACTCCCATATCTGATTTTTTAGGTGCAATCCAATGAACGGGTTGTGGGAAGCTCCTTTGCATACGCGACTACGCCCAAATTTTGTTGGCACAAAAAAGAAAGCCCCTTGGAAAGGTGAAAATTTTTGACCATCTTTTTGAATCTCGAAAACTACCCTGCCA